CTCCTCGTCTCTGATGGCTAAGAGCTCCTGAATTGCCAGAACACCAAAGCGCACAAAGATAAAGATACGGACACTGTTTGTCATACAAAAGAAGAACTAAATAAATAAAATGAATATATATCTCACGCATATATGGAACCATTTTCTTAGAAAGGACAACAAAATTGCCAACAATCAAGTTATTTCTTGGCTCTGATTTTGTTGTTGAAAGCATTTTTTAAAAAGGAAGCAGGTAATATTTAAAAAGGAAGCAGGTTATACTCACCAGTGGATAATGTGGTCTAAGTTTACCAGTATATCGATATCCAGCCCAAGGATCTGTGTTAATGTCACCTTCCACAGTCCAAGAAGAAACTTGTTTGGCTTTTTCATCTTCTGCAAAACAAAGAATAAGAATTGGGACATCCTAAGTCAGTGTTGGTCAACCTTTTTTGGCAAGCATGCCACAGAGTAAATCCCGCCCCATCCAAGTGCCATGTTGATCCCCTTACCCTGCTTAGTCACTTGTTCATTCTTCTCCCTGCCTGATCCATTCTTCTACTTTCTACTCCCTTCCCTATCTAGCACTCTGTGTTCGTTGCTCCCTCCTCAACTGTCATGTGCCACACACGGAGGCTGTCCATGTTGTGGTACACATGCTGTGGGGTTAGCTACTTCTGCTCTAAGTAGTCAATGAACAACAAGAGTTTGGGGTCTGGCCAATGACCCTCCCAAAAAAATCTAGATTTGCATCACTTCTGTTGCTTTTTATCATTTTTATAAAGAGTGTCAGAAAGATTATATAACTATTTACAGCATTCTCCCTATTTCATTTTTACATTAAAAAACTTTTAGGCCCAGTTTAACATATTTCTACTCTGTGGAAATGAAAGAATTGTAGGGTTATGACACAAAATGTATGAAACCTATTTATCAAGGGGAAATTATTTTTAGTGTTTGTTTTTATTAATTCTTGGGGGGAAAATACATCTTTGCTAAAGACATAATATTCCTCCCATAATAGTTTCCTTCCAGCATTCAAAGACAGAGGCCATACTAGTTTAATCATTAACCTATTAAGCGCCGTGCCAATCCTCAAGAGTTACTAGAAGAAGCAAGTGGAATATTACAGCACAATGGACACACAAAAAGATTTACTTAGGACTGCCTGACCTCCAGCTAAACACTAAGTATTTATTTTTGTTCTTTTTTTTTTTCTTTCAGAGCTCAGAAGCATAACACAGGACATCCAAAAGATTGTCATGGCAGGCTCCAAAATTGATCCATCAGTCTCCAAAACTGGTGTCTGAGCACCTGCCTGTTTAATGGCTGATCAAGACAAAACTCTAGTTTTTGGACAAATTCCTCACAAGCCCATTTTAAAACAAATCACTCCATTAAGCACTATTTTAATTAGTAAAGAAGTTTGTTTAATTTTCTTAGTATTCTCTTAATTTTGTGGCATCAGAGAAAGGGAAATGACAGAGCTGAAACAGTACACAATTCTTGGCTGCTCTTTATCTCTATGCAGTTAGAAAAATAGCAGCTTTGCATGGAGTTATCAAAGCACTCTCTAACATGTAGACAGCAGGCCTGTGTGAATAGGGAAGTATTCAATCCGGATTCGAAGGACAGTGATTTGATTCGGATCATTGTCCTGAATTGATTCGGCCGAATCAGCTTCGAAAGATTCAGCACCAATTCAGATTGGCTAGAGAGAGGCAGGCACAGCTGGGCAACTGCAGGTTCTCCCGTGGCTCCTCTGGCTGTGTCTGCCTCTCCCCAGGCAGTGGGGAGCCATGGGAGAAGCCTCCATGGCTGCCTTGCCCAGCCCCAGCCTCATCCCCTGCCCAGCCCCAGCCTCCCGGCACTTACTAAAAAAAAAAAAGTCCCACACTGCAGGAGCTGCAATTGGGGCCTCTGGGTACTTGTTGCAGAGCCCCCGCCATGCAGCCCAGGGCAGTGGGGAATCGCCCCTCCCCACCTGGCACCCACATGGCAGCTGCCCCATGGCTCGGGTACAGTGCAGCTCAGCAGGGCACCACACGCTGTCCGGGAGCTGGGGCCACTGGGACTGAGCATTGCCAGGCTCTGGCTGACAGGTGAAGCTGCCCCAGCTCCCAGGCAAATCGAACCAGTGGCTGGGGGAATATTCAGGTCCCTGAACATTCCCCTAGTTCCCAGTTCAATACCCAGGCTCTCTGATCGTTTCCTTCAGCTCTTCCCGGGGGAGGCACAGGCCCCCGGATGATGTAGGATGACAGCAGTCTACCACTGCCAGCTGGCGATGGTGGCAGCTCTGGGCTATTTCCCCAGCTGGCAGCAACAGCCTGCTGAAATCCCGCACGCAGCTCCAGGGGCCGCACCCCCCAGGAAGAGCTAGGGGAATGATCAGAGCCATCAGCGCCCAGAGGCCCCAAATCACTGCTCCTGCTTTTTTAGTGCCAAGAAGCTGGGGCCAGGGAGACGGGACAGCACAGCCATGGGAGCTTCTCCCACAGCTCCTCTGGCTGTGCCTGCCTCTGACCCAACAGGGGGAGCTGTGGGGACTCTGCCCTACTGGCACTTGCCCAGGTGGCACGGCAGGGGGGAGGGGGCAGCGTGCAATGCAGGCACAACTCGCTCTGGGCAGCAGCAGGGCACAGCCCCCGCTCCCAGTGCTGCCGTGCCCACATCCCCACACCCTAAGTAATGTGCCTCCTGCCCTGGCTGGGCAGCTTGTCCCAGCCCCAGCCCCAATCCCTCCCTCCCCCACACCCCACCCCCAACAGACTTACCAGCTGGAGGCAGCTGTCAGCTGCCTGTTTAGTCTATGACTGAATTTTTTTCTGAAGCAATTCAGATGCTTCGAATTGATTTGGAGCTTTTATCTGGTCTCCCGATTCGATTCAGAGATTCAGTCCCTGAATATCATCTGAATCAAATCAGCTACCAAAGCTTCACACAGCCATGGCAGACAGGTGCATTATGGAACTGCAGTGGCTAGACTGATTACATTTTACATAATGGTGCAAAGGGGCAGAATATACATAACGGTAGAAAGAACTCCCAAGGGCGAGTCAAGTTCAGACTGAGAAAATTCTTTTGGTCTTTATACTACATTCAATATAAAACAATATACTGAGCACGTGAACACTGATTCTGAGAACAAAAATTGTACTAAGTTTTAGGAAGAAGGTAAATGAGTCAAGGGTTTGGCTTTAGTATTCACATGGACCAATCCTGAAAGGAAATCAGAAGTAAAAAAACACTGAGGGGTTTTTTTGTTTGTTTTTGGGGTGTTTTATATCCCCAAACCCCACAAATCTGGCACTTATAAAATTCTATAATCAGACAGTCAGATCAGGTGGGTTATAAACAGAGCAAGTCATATATGAAGTACTGTTATTGAGAAAATAACTACACAGGTATGTAAATCAGACACCCACAGAATTCAAGAAATTACATTAGTGGAAAAAAGGTGTCATGGATCATTAAGGCTGTGTTTACACTGCCAGCAATTTCTAGCAAGTGTGAAAGCCACAGCGTAAAGAAGGTGCAGGTATTTTTACTACTGTACAGTTTACTAAAAACACTGAATTCTGGTTAAACTACAGCCTCTATTATTGATAGCACCGATACAGAAAAAAAAGTTAGAACTTGCCTATTTAGAAACATTGCTGAAGTGTGCAGCACTGCTGCATTCTAACTGGCTGGTTAGAGCACTTTATTTCAATATAGCCACATAAAGCCATTTAAAAAATAAATAAAAGAATTATCCTACCTTCCATTATCTCAGACGTTAAGAATTTCAAAGGAATATTTTGCAATGTCCTTTTGGTCACAATTTATTATCCTTGTCCTCTATTTCCCTGTCCATAAACCTAGTCATTCAGCTCACAGCAATATTTCAGACAACTGGGAATAGCATGAGCAGAAAGATTTCCATGCCAACACCTCTGAAGTTATCACAATAATGTGGGAGATCAGCAGCATCTCAGACATAAGGTACATATTGCCAGGTATCTCATAAAAATTCAACACCACAGTTACATACACATGCTTACTAGAGAAGAAAAAGCAGTATACATCATTGAGTAGAGGCACACCAATACTTCAGTCCAATATCAGATCGGTACCGATATAAAGAAAATTGGCTGTATAGGAAGTTAACCCGACAGAGATAAATGCGCACGCACGCACGCGTGTATGCATGTGCGCAGCTGCAGCACAGCACTCAGGCAGCGAAGAGCAAAGCACAAAAAGCTGCCTCCAGCTGTGGCTCCCGCCTGTGCTTGCACCCAGGGAGGGTGTGCTGGCATGTGCCCCCAGACCTGTGCAGGGCAAGTGGGTGGGCTGCAGCTGCGGGCTGGAGCCGGGTTCCTCTCGCTGGGTGCTGGGCTCAGAGCGGGGGCTACAGAGGAGGCTGCAGCCACCCCAGATTTCGCTGTAGCTCCCTCCCAGTGTCACCACCAGGTACCCAGCACAACCCCTGTTCCTCCTGGCAGCTGGGGGAGGCGGGAGTTGAGCCGGAGCTGCACCAGGTGCGTGGCGGTGGCAGTGGCAGCGGCACTGGGAAGGAGCTACAGCGAAATCTGGGGTGGCTGCTCCAAGTCCAGCCCACAATGAGAAAAGCCTGGCTCCAGCCCACAGCTACAGCACACTCACTCACCCTACACAGATCCAGGGGCACCACACTGCCCCACCCCACCCCCCACAGGGTACAGGCAGTGGCAGGAGCTGCCCCCCTCCCCCTGAAAACCCATGCCTCCATTCCACACCCCACCCCATCTGGGTAGCGCCTGCCCCTGCCCCCTCCCTCACCGTGGGGGGGGGGGGTTGATCTTCCCCCTCATGCCCCTTCCCTCCCACCACAATGGACTTACCAGCTGGAAGCAACTCGCCACACTACATCGGAAATCAGATCAGTATCAGCTGACATGCCTCCTTTAAAAAATCAGATATTGGTGTCGGCCCCAAAAATCACTATCAGTGCACCCCTATCATTGAACTAGTTAAAGGATAGCCTTTATTCAACTTTTTGAAGCCAGAGTGTGAGG